AACTGACTGTTCTACCTGATTTGGAGCCTCCTCTTCCGGAGCTGGAACCACTGCTGCCTCTTCCTCACCGTACCCACCTTCTTGTCCAGCAGCTGGGGCAACCGGTTCATCTCCATATTCATTGTTCCTCTTGTGTACTGAAACAAATATTTTTGGGAGTCAGGAAAAATTTTCGTTAAAAATTTCTCGAATTATCCACGTACAGGTCCCGTATGCCGAAACCGGTGAGGATCACTTACTTATTTTATAACAGTCATGGTTTTCAACGACTGCTGTTATTCGCTACTTTGAAGGTTTCTGATCGCAAGGAATGTTCAACCAATTTTTCTGTCTCAAGCGTTTAAGAATACCGCAACATTTGTTTCGGACTCTGTGGGACAGAACCAAGATCCACTGAAAATCTGCGGGAAGCACGCGGAAATCACAATCGGTAGTTAGTGCAAAAATAGAGAAATTGAATTTGTTCATTTGGCAATGGTGAGAAGTTTTTTGAACTCATTTTATGGACCAGCTGGAGTCTTTGAGACTCAACAAAGTTATGGCAACGGCACTGATTGCGAGAAGAAGCGACAAAATACAGTGGTTGGTCATTTTGTAGTCGAACGAAATTCAGTGGAATGGATAAAACTGAACCCATCGTGGATTTTTTGATGGCCGTTCAAACAACGGCTCATATCCGCATGGTAACGAAGCACATACGACTTTCTAAAGTAGCTGTAATATGACTATAAAGCACATTTATTTTATGATAACTTACTCGATTTTGTGTTCGCTGCGGTAACGATGAAGAGACAGACGATGATACTTCGCATCATATTCACGACAGGAACGTAGCTGATGAAACATGATCGGATCGAACGCTTTTATGCATATATGCGACATTAGCACGTGAAACTGGTTCGATCAATGGTCACCATTATTATTGCAGCTTCGTCTTCATATTTTTTCGAACATCAAAGTGTTTGAAGAGCAATACAATAACATGTCTGTGTGTGTGCGTACACACCAGTCGATGATACTATTTCAATTA